TGACTAGTCTCTCGCAGGACATAACTAATGTTTTACAACACACAACTAGTCTCTTGCAAGATATAACTAGTCTAACTATTGTCTTACAGGGTATAACTAGTCTCTTACAGGATTATAAATAATCTCTCACAGGATATTACTAGTCTCTCACAGGACATAACTAGTCTCACTATTCTCCAGTGGACATAATTAGTCTCTTGCAATACATAACTAGTCTAACTAGTCTCTCAAATGACATAAGTAGTCTCCCAAAGGACAAAACTAGTCAAACTAGTCTCTTACACGACATAACTAGTCTCACTAGTCTCTCGCAGGACATAACTAATCTTTTACAACACATAACCAGTCCCTTGCAAGATATAACTAGTCTAACTAGTCTCTCACAGGGCATAATTAGTCTCTTACAGGATTATAAATAATCTCTCACAGGATATTACTAATCTCTCACAGGACATAACTAGTCTCACTCGTCTCTTACAGGACATAACTAGTCTCTCACAAGACATAACTAGTCTCACTAGTCTCCCACATAATAATAACCTTTATTTAACCAGGTGAGTCAATTAAGAACTAGTTCTCATTTACAATGACGGCATTACAATGACAGTAAAAGCAGATATGAAGCAGCAGGGACCCAATTTGACATGTTCCACATGACATAACTAGTCTCTCACTGAGCATATGATTGGTGTGTGTGTGTGTGTGTGTGTGTGTGTGTGTGTTTTCTGCACTTGTTTATTATCCAGTAGTCTTGGTGCTGAGGAAAGAAGCGTTCAGTGCAGATGTACAGTGTATATATGATATCAGGATGCAGCATTAATGATGTGCTCTGCTTTTCCGAAGTCCTCCTGCTGCTAAAGACTCTCCATCATTTCTCTGTAATGATTCTGATGCCGAGTGTTTGTTTTTTAGACTCTGTTCATCATCAGTAATGCTTATATTATGTCCTGATGGATTAATACAGTAAATAATCACGAGTGTCGATGGAAAATCTGTTCCCATCAGCCGAAGCGTTTGAAGATGCTTCTGTTTATCAGCACATCTGATGTTCTGATTTGACCAGCAATAAACTGACATCAGCAGTTTAACCCTCACCTGGATCAGTGTCTCCCTCTTCTGGCTGCAGATCAGTACTGCAGGAGCTCACTCACTCGTGTAAAGGGACAGTTCACACAACAAATGAACATTCACTCACTCTTTACTCTCCCTCAAGTGGTTTCAAACCTTTATGAGTTCCTTTATGCTGTAGAATGTAATGTAATGTGTATTTATATAGCGCATTAATTGTGTATGGTCATACACCTAAAGCGCTTCACAATCATGAGGGGGGGTCTCTCCACTAGTGTGCAGCTCCACTTGGATGATGCGACGGCTGCCACAGGGCAACGGCACCAGTGCTTCACCACACACCAGCTATTGGTGGAGTGGAGAGACAGTGATAGAGCCAATTCGGTGGATGGGGATGATTGGGAGTCCATGATTGTAAGACCGATAGAGGGGCTTTGGCCAGGACACCGGGGTTAAACCCCTGCTCTTTCACGAGACGTGCCATGGGATTATTAACGGCCACAGAGAGTCAGGACCTCGGTTTAACGTCTCATCTGAAAGACTGTGCTCACTGACAGTATAGTGTCCCCTTCACTTTTACTGGGGCATTAGTACTCACACAGACCACAGGTTGAGCGCCCCCTGCTGGCCTCACTAACACCACTTCCAATAGCAACCTAGTTTTACCTAGTGGTCTCCCATCCAGGTACTGACCAGGCTCAGCCCTGCTTAGCTTCAGTGAGTAACCGGTCTTGGGCTGCAGGGTGATATAGCTGTTCATGGCTTGAACATTGAAGAAGATGTTTTGAAGAATGCTGGAAACCTGTAACCATTCACTTCCATTGAAAGAAAAGCAAATACTGTTAAGTTAATGGTTACAGGTTTCTAACATTTCTCAAAATATCTTGATTTGTGTTGAACAGAAGAGAGAAACTCTTACTGTTTAAGTGTTTAATTGGAGTGTGTGTGTGCATGTGTGAAGTGTTTGATCTGTGTGTGTGTGTGTGTGTGTCAGCTCCTGTTTCCTCAGCTGTCAGTCACATGATGGATTATGTCTGTGTGTGTGCGTGTGATGTGTGGAGGATTTGATCTTTGTGTGTTCAGTGTGTGTGTGTGCATGTTAAATGTGTCAAATTCTTGTGTGTAAGGAGTATGTTAAACGGGTTCACTGTGTGTGTGTGTGTGTGTGTGTGTGTGTGTGTGTGTGTGTGGTTGTGTGATGAGCGTTTGATAGATTTTTAAATGTTTATTGTATGTTTGGGGTGTGTGTGCGTATAAGTGTTTAATGTGTGTGTGTGCGTGTGCGTGTGTGTGTGTGGAGGGTTTGATCTTTGTGTGTGTTTTCATTTAGTGTTTGTTTAGTGTCTGTGTGTGTGTTTAATGTGTGAGCTGAGATTGTGTTGCCCTCTCAGCTCACATTATTTAAAAGAAAAGGCCCACATTGTCCCCTAATAATGTCAACAGACTGGACTGTCTTGGCAACTGGCTGAATGTAAAGGAGGACTGAGCAAAATTGTTTCTACTTTATAATTAATGTTCTCAACTCACAACAATACAACTTTACAATGAGCACAATTGTTTATATATACTTTATTATTATTATTATAATTTTCCATATCTGTAATTCCTGTATTTTGACATTTTTGCAGTCCACTTAGAATCCAACATGAAAATCAATGTTTTCTTTATTGGCATTGATTGTTTTGAAATTTAAATGTCATTAACATGCCTGTGTCTTCATTTCTGTAATAAATATGGCTGTCAAGCCAGGATCTTGATGGTTTATTGTGGGTTTGTTGTTTACATGAAGAAATCTGTGTTACAAGCTAAACAAAAATTCTAATAAACAATTATATTTTGAATTTAAATAGTTTTTTTCGTGTGTTTACATTTATTTTACATTTGAATAATCAAAATGACAAGTTTCAGTCTTTTAAATGTGAATAATCGCGATTAATTAAAAAAGTGTGATTAATTAGTTAATTTTTTTAAATCGATTGACAGCACTAACATATATATATATATACACATATAAATACACACACATATATATATATATATCAGTCAGTATATGAACCTCTTGAGCATGAGCATCTAGGTGTGAGTATGAGTCCGTGTGTGTGTGTGTGTGTGAGAGGGAAGTCCTCTGGCAGCTCCTCTCCTCATCACAGGTCAGGCTTCGTCCTCTTTTACAGTCAACAGTTAAAGTTACAGACACACACACACACACACAGCGTACACCGCACACCGTAGTAAATAAATTAAAGATGTAGAGAAAAAACACACGACAGGCTTCAGGAAACCCAAGAGCGACACCGTGACGGAAATCAAAGTCCAGGAGGAAAGGTAAGAGTCAGCGCACAGACACAGACACACACACACACACACACACACACACATCCACAACTCGAGGACGAGAAGGAAGACATACATTTACAAGAAGAAGAGGAAGAACAGAAGGACTTTTACATTTTACAAGAAGGAAAAAGAGAAGAAGAAAAACATTTACAAGAGAGAAGGACATTTACATTTATATTTACATTTTACAAGACGAAGAATAAGGAGAAAGAGGAGGAATACATTTACAAGAAGAACAACAACAGAAGGGCTTTTACATTTTACAAGGAGAAAGAGAAGAAGAAAAACATATAACATTCGCAAGATGTACAGAAGGACATTTAACATTTATGTCGGTTTACAAGAAAAAGAATAAGGAGAAAGAGAAGAAAAACAGAAGGACATTTACATCTGACTTTACAAGGAGAAAGAGGAGGAGGAGAAAAGAGGCAAAACATTTACAGTTTACAAGAAGACGAGGAAGAGCTGAAGGACTTTTAACTATTTACATTTTACAAGAAAGAGAAGAAGAAGAAGAACGAGAAGCGGAAAAACAAGCAGGAGATCTTAATCGTAACTTTATGATCTATTTCAATGGTGTTTCATGTGACGCTTATTACAGATGAGTTTCCCTCTGGGATTAATGACGTGAAGAAGAAGAGCAAGAACATTTACAGAAGAAGAATAGAAAAGAAATTAAAAAGAAGAAGAATATCTTATATTTTACAAGACGAACAAAATCAACATTAAAAGAAGAAACAAAAGAGAACAGAAGCAGATAATACAAGAAGGGTAGAAGAAACAGAAGAAGAATAACATTTACATTTTATAAGAAGGAGAGGAAGAATAAGGAGAGGAGCAGCATAAGAAGAGGAAGAAACAAGACGAAAAACAGAAAAAAGAGAAGAAGAAGAAGATTTATCGTTTACATTTTACAACAGGAACGAGAAGAGGAAGGAGAAGAAGAAAAAGAAATGTTTACATTTTACAAGTAGAACAAAGAAAAGAAGAGAAGAAAGAGAAGAATAACAATTAACGTTGTTAGAAAGAGAGAGAAGTAGAAAGAGAAGAAAAAGGAGAAAGAGAAGACGAAAAAGAAAAGACAAATTTAACATTTACATTTACAATTTACAAGTAGAAGAAGAAGAAGAGAAGAAAGAGAAAGGAGAATAAACAGAAGAGGAAGGAGAAGAAATAGAAGAGGAAAAGGAGAGGAGAAGACGTGTACATTAACAAGTAGAACGAGAAGAAAAGGAACGAGAACAAAAAGGAGAAGAATATCAACATTTAACGTTTACGATTTACAAAAAGAAAAAGAGAGAAAGAGAAGAGGAAGGAGAAGAGAAGTGGAAAAAGGAGAAGAGAAAACGTTGACATTTACAAGTAGAGCGAGAAAAAGAACAAGAAAAGAAAAAGAAGACAGAGAAGAATAACAACATTTAACCTTTACAAGAAGAACGAGAAGAAAAAGAAAAACAGAGAAGAAGAAAGGGAGAAAGAAGAAACGGAAGAAGAAAGAGAAGAAGGCGAAGAAAGAGAATAAGAGAAGAAACAGAGAGGAAGGAGAAGAAAGAGAAGAAAAAGGAGAAAGAGAAGACAAAAAAAGAGGAGAAAAACATTTTACATTTACATTTTACAAGAACAAGAAAAGAAGAAAGAGAAGAGAAAAAAGAAGAAGAATTACAACATTTAACACTGTTAGAAAGAAGAAGAAAGAGAAGAGAAAAGAAGAAAAAGGAGAAGAAAGAGAAGAATTACAACATTTAACACGATTTAAGAAAACATTTAAGAAAGAAATTTATTACAACATTTAAGAAAAAGAAAGAGAAGAGGAAGAAAAAGAAAAGAGAAGAATAACAACGCATTTAAAGTTCACATTTTACAAGAAGAACGAGAAGAAAAAAACAAGGAGAAGAAGAAAGAGAAAAAAGCAGAAGAATAACATTTAACATTTATATTTTACAAGAAGAAAAAACAGAAGAAGGTTAAAATTTACATTTCACAAGAAGAACAAACTGAAGAGGAAGAAGAAACATCAGTGGAAGAATAACCAGCGGTAGAAGAAGATGAGACCCGCAGTCCTGTGCTCCTGCTGACCGAACACTCTCCATCATGGGCTCCAAAGACAAGAAATCCAAAGACGAGGGCAAGAAGAAGAAGAAAGCGGAGAAGGAGGACTCTGAGCCAGAGGAGGATGATGAAGACTCGCGGAAGAAGAAGAAGAAGAAGAGCAAGAAGGGAAACGCAGACAGTGACGACGATGGCAAGAAGAGCAAAGACAAGAAGAAGAAGAAGAAGAAGAGCAAGACGGAGGATTACGTGGAGATTTATGAGAACGAGCTGAGGAACTACGAGCCCGAGAAGGTGGAGAACTATGAGGACGAGTACCACAAGAAGAAAGGTAAACCACACGACATGAGCTGGGGATTCTGGGATTTGCAGTATTTGAGAAGCTTATTTACATGTGCTGGAGAACTGTGTTTACAGTATAAATATTCTGTAATTGAGATTTTATTTAATGGAGAAGACAACTTTGCTTTATTTATAAAGAACATTTAAAACAACAGTTGTTGACCAAAGTGCTTTACAAAATCAACCAACACACAATCTATACTTGTCTTTGTACTCAAAATAAAATAAATTACAATCAAATGCCATAGACACAGGAGGATTTTTAAAATGAGATTTAAAAGCACAGAGGGAAGAGCAGGACTTAATATATACAGGAATATATATATATATATATGTATTCCCTATACGTCGTGTTTGCTGGCCTCACGCATCACACACCTGTCAGTCAGCCAGTCAGTCATTTTTTTTATTGCATGTATATTTTATTGCATTTCATTTTTAATTAAAATTTTTTATTGTTTTATTGCATTTAATTCTATTTAAATTTGATCTATTGCCAATAGTTTATTTCATTGCTTTTCATTTATTTAATTAATTAATTAATTTTTATTTTATTGCATTTTATTTAATTAAATTTTACTTTTTACTTTGCATTTTCATTTTAATTTAGTTTTTTTATTTATTGCATTTTAACTATTATTTTATTGCATTTAATTTAATTAATTAAATTTATTTTATTGCATTTAATTTAATTAAATTTTACTTTTTTACATTGCTTTTTTAATTTGATTTAGCTATTTTAAATTTTTTGTATTTTAACTGTTTTTTTGCATTTAATTAAATTAATTAAATTTATTGCATTTAATTTAATTAAATTTTATTTTACGTTGCATTTTTATTTAATTTAGTTATATTTTATTTATAGTATTTTAACTGTTTTTATTGCATTAAATTTAACTAATTAAATGTATTTTATTTCATTTTTAATTTAATTTAGTTTGTTTGTATTTTTGTTTTGTTTCATTGCATTTCATATTTTATTTTATTTAAATGTATGTGTTTGTGTAGTGTTTGCTTTTGTGTGTTTAATGTGTATGTGTGTCTGTATGTGTGTGTTAGTTTGTTTAGTTCATGTGTGCATGTTCGTTTAGTATTCGCTTAGTGTGTGTGAGTTTAATGTATGAGTGTCTGTGTGTTTGTTAAGTTTTTGTGTCTGCGTGTGTTTGTTTGATTGTTTAATTTGTGTACATTGTTAAGTTTGTCCTTCTTTGTGTTTGCTTGATTAGTTTGTGTGTGTTTGTTTAGTGTTTGCTTGTGTGTGTTTAATGTGTATGTGTGTCTGTATGTGTGTGTTTGTTTGTTTAGTTTGTGTGTGCATGTTTGTTTAGTATTCGCTTAGTGTGTGTGAGTTTAATGTATGAGTGTCTGTGTGTTTGTTAAGTTTTTATGTCTGCGTGTGTTTGTTTGATTGTTTAATTTGTGTACATTGTTAAGTTTGTCCTTCTTTGTGTTTGCTTGATTAGTTTGTGTGTGTTTGTTTAGTGTGTGTGTGACTCACATTACTGATTCTGCATTACCCAACACTGCTGGTCATTGAGACTCAACAGTGTTTAGCAGTCGCTGCGGTCAGCTCAGGTCTCCAGAGCAGGGTTAAAGTCCAGCCGTTCTGTCAGATCTGAGAACAGTGTATGTATGTGCTCATCAGTAATGCTACAGCTACAAAACATCATATCACATGCAAAAGCTTTCATCTTATTTCTATTCCAAATATGTAAAAATTGTTAAAACAAGAAGCATTTTCTAGACAAGTAAAAAAAAAAAGTGTTTGGAAATAATGAAAGAAAAAAAGTTCTTTCTTAAAGGGTCACTTTCGGTTCAGGTCTACCTCAGAATTCTTTCAAAAGATGCATCATAATGGGCGGAGCTTATTGAGCAAAGGGCAGGAGTGGGCGTGGCCAGCAGGGGAGAAAGAGGGGAGCGAACAACTGTTGTCAGTCGGCTCACAAAATGAGACACAAACCATAAGGAGACGCAAAGAAGAATGCAAAGATGTAAACAGTAGTTTAATGCCCTGCTACATTTGTTATTCATAATTTCATAAACAGATAACCACAATTTATATCGTTATAAAGATAATGGTGTTCATATAAACACTAAATGAGGACTTCTCCCTCCATCCCCGGGTCTGAATGCAGACTCAGTGCAGCAGGTCTCTTGCCCTGTCTATTTTAACCATTAGCCCTGCTGCTAATCTGGAGGATTTAGGCAAACACAGCAGCACGGCCATGTGTCTAAATGTGAACGAACTCCTGATAAAAGACAGCGTCCGCCATTCTCCAATTCTCGTACTGCTCTCCTGACAAAAAGTGCTTGCAGCACGCACACAGCTTTGCTGTATCGGCCCTGACAGCATCGCAGGGAAAAACTTGTAACAAACCCCGTGGATCATGGAAACAAACACACACGACCCTTCATGAACGGCTAAATACTGTGAGCTGTGGGTCTGTGTCTCACAGCTTGGCACTGGCAGGTCTGCCTTGCCTTTGGAAAGCACATGCAGTCATGAATAATTAAGAAGCCGGCTCTTCTCATAGGATAAGAAAACTCCTCTTTGAATAATAATGAGAAACCGACGCGTCATCTTTGCACCGATTTTGATCCGCCCTAAAAATCATTTTAAACCCGGAAGCTGAAATCAGCTGACAAAAGCTCTAAATTATTCAGTTTACCCCACAATTACAGCTGACAGCTGCTAACATTGTCTAAGATAATTCTGAATTCAACGGTATCTACTAAGCCAGACTCACTGCAGACTGTGTTAATGCAGACTAAGAGAACTGAACTGACCCCGGGGAAGAATCCAGTTGGTAGAGGCGCACAAAAGTATGTGGAGTCAAGCAGCCTGCCACCATACAGACAGGACAGAGTCTGAAAGAGAGGCTTTGGAGTCTGCAACAACCCTAGAGGAATGAGCTCTGAGGCCCCGGTCACACTATATGTTGTAGATTTAAAGAGCGAGTTTTAGAATGAAAACGATCCACGTCCTGAACAGCTCTCCGTCCACATTTCACCACTGTAAACATCACGTGACCACACACACACACACACACACACTCTGGCATGCACTGCAGTGTGCTTTGAGCATATCTAGCCAGATGACAGCAGTGCACGTTGGACTGTTGATCAAGGATCTGCCGCTGGATTCAATCTCACTATATTTGTTAACCGTGATATTTGATTCACCTTGTCTTAATCTAACAACACATTCCCCGACTTTGGTCTTTTGAATCTATTACTTGTTCTCATGTGTTTTGGCTGATAAGTTAGGCTAATATATTAAATAATAAAGCCGCGTACTCTGATTCTGCACATCTGACTGATCGCTTGCCTTTATTTCCTGCAATGTATTATTGCACGTTATACTTTTATTATGGCCATTATTGATTATTAAAACTGATATTCAGTGAAAGAGAGGGTAAGTTTCATATTTTTCAATGAGAATTAAAGGAGACAGTGATGTTATAGGCTACATTTTGTTATAAATATGCACACAGTGAAGATGATGCTACACATTGCCTCAACATTTTCAGTGTCTGTTAAGTTAATATCAAAATGAAAATAGGCAGTTCCTTATATCATGTTTTCATTTTGTTGTTTAGAAAGTAAAATGTTGTAGCCAGCATGATGTGAATGAGGTTATAAAGTACACTGTTCCTATTTAAGATTTACCCGACGTGTCCTCGGGAGTCTATTTTCCATATCAAACTTATGTAGTTGTTAGTTAAGTGAGGAAGACTCCACGCACGGTCCTGTAATTGATTAATTTGCCAGCTGGTGTCAGAGGCTTTCTTACAAGTGAATGTTCTTAAGACAAAAGAGATGACCATTGATTTTAATCATAAGAGGAGACTGATTGAGCGTAAGCAAACCAGTATTAATGGAGCGGATGTTGAGAGTGTTGATCAGTATAGGTATCTGCGAACTGTTTTAGATGATAAATTGTCCTTTTCTGCTAATACTAATATGTTGTGTAAGAAGGGGCAACAAAGAATATGTCGTTTACAGAAATTGAGATCTTTTGGTATAGATAAATCACTCGTGTGCATGTTTTACAGTTCATACGTTCAGTCACTGTTATCCGTTTCTTTGCTTTGTTGTTTCAATTCTCTAAGTGTGAAAAATAAGAGTTGTTTGGAGAAAATTGTGAACCTAGGAGGAAAAATAACAGGGAAAAACAGATGCCCATGGCTCAGTTATACCAGAGACAAGTTTTGAGTAAAGCTCAGAGTATTCTGTCAGATGATTCCCATCCTACACTGAAAAAAACTATTCAGAGATGATTCCTTGGATTTACTATTTTTTTTTTAATGTTAAGTGGTTGTAAACAATTTATTTGTGTTAAATTTAAACAAACAAATTAAGTTGAACATTATTAAACTTAATTTGTTTGTTTAAATTCAACACAAATAAATTGTTTGCAACAGTTCTGCATGCAACAGTTTTTTCAGTGCACCACGAGTTTTATCTTCTCCCTTCTGGTATTCGATACAGAACTCCTGTTAGTTAAACAAATCGTTTTAAATTTTCATTCATCCCCTCAGCTGTAAAGTTTTTAAACTTAGGGTAGAATTTGTATTGTATGATGTACTTTGTGTATTATGTGTGACATGCTTGTATGCTGCAACCAAATTGCCTTCGGGAAATGAATAAAGACTGACTGACTGACTTGCGAAGTCTGAACAAGGAGAGGATGAAGACTGAACTGTGTGTGTAGGCTACTTAATATTGAGGAAAAGCCCCAATCATAGAGGTGAATGTCTGCAGCCCCGACTCCGTTTTCAGATCCTTCCACCGTTTTTCCCCATCCACACTAACACGGAGCATCTTGCCAAAATGCTCCGTTTTCAGAGCTTGAAAACTCGGGCGTAGTGTGGATGGTTGGCGTAACCGTAGCAAAAACGTATGCATTTTAAAACAAAAACGTATTAGTGTAAACAGGGGCTAGGGGAAAGAGGTGGTAAGTAATAGAGCAATGGTCTCAAACCCAATTCCTGAAGGGCCGCAGCTCTGCATAGATTAGCTCCATCCACCTCCTACTCACAGCTGCTTAATAATGTCTAGTAGTCTTGATCACCTTGATTAGTTGATCAGCTGTGTTTGATTAGTGTTGGCGCAAAACTGCAGAGCTGCGGCCCTCCAGGAATCCAGTTTAAGACCTGTGTAATAAAGTTACATTTTTCTTGCACTTGGTAAACATTTGAAAAAGTTAATAAAAAAAATATCAGCTGTATGTCTACATATATCTAACATCCAGTGTGTGTGTGTGTGTGTGTGTGTTTCTCCTCAGTGTATGAAGTGGTGACCATCACTGGAGATGTAAACGGAGCTGGAACAGATGCTAATGTGTTCGTGACGCTGTTCGGGGATTACGGCATCACTCCCAAACTACACCTGAGCAGCAAGTCAGACTTTCAGCATCACTGAGGCTTCACTCCACTGCACTGTTCACTGATCAACCTGCAGTTTCATTTTATTCAGAATGTGCTGCATTATTTTACAGGAAACTGCAAAAAAAGATCAGTCAGTCAGTCAGTCAGTCAATTATTCATTCTGTCAACCAATCTATCAGTCAATCATTCAATAAGTCAATTGACCATTCCGTCAATCAAATCAGTAATTTTATCAGTCAGTCAGTCAGTCAGTCAGTCAGTTATTGAATTGTTCTGTCAGTCAATCAATAAATCAATCAATCAATCAATCAATCAATCAATAAATAAATAAACCAATCAATCAAGTAATTAGCAAGTCAGTAAGTCAATAAATAATTCTGTAAACCAATCAATCAATTAATCATTCCGTCTGTCAATTAATCATTCTTCAATAAAATCAATCGATCAATCAATTATTCAGTCAGTCAGTTAGTCAATGAATAATTCTGTAAACCAATCAATCAATCAATCATTCCGTCAGTCAAATAACTATTCCTTTGATCGATCAATCAATCAATCAATCAATCAATCAATCAGTCAGTCAGTCAGTCAGTCAGTCAGTCAATCAATCAATCGAGTAATCGGTCATTCAGTTTGTCAATAAATAATTATGTAAACCAATCAATTAATCATTCAGTCAGATAATTATTCCTTCAATCCAATCAATCAATCAACCAATCAATCAATCAATCAATCAATCAATCAATCAATCAATCAATCAATCAATCAATCAATCAATCAATCAATCAGTTAGATAATTATTCCTTCAATCCAATCAATCAACCAATCAATCAATCAATCAATCAATCAATCAATCAATCGAGTAATCAGTCATTCAGTTTGTCAATGAATAAGTCTGTAAACCAATCAATCAATCATTCAGTCAGACAATTATTCCTTCAATCCAATCAATCAGTCAATCAATCAATCAATCAATTAATCAATCAATCAGTCAGTCAGCTAGTCAATGACTGATTCTGTAAACAAATTGATCAAATGAATCATTCTGTCAATCAATCAATTTATCAAACAATCAGTCAGGCAGTCAGTCAGTTAATCAAGTGTTGAGTTGGTCAATCAATAATTCATTAAACTGATCAATCAATATATCATGTGCTCAATCAATCATTAGCTATTCATCAACAAAGGATTTTTCATGTTATTGGAAAAAAGATATATCTGTCTATATATGATTTACATTTCTCCATTTCATACTTTGACTGAATATCTAAATTAATATAGTTTTAAAATCAAAAACAACAAAATTATGATACCAAAAATAGAATAAAAAATGATATTTACGTTTTTCATATTTTGACAGAATATCCTAAATGAATAAATTAAGGTAGAAAACAACTAAATTATAAAGCAAAATAAAAATACTACTTAATTTTTCCAATGAAAGTTTGATTATATATTTCTACACTCTAAAACATTTATTGCAGCTTGTTCAAGCTACTTAATTAAAATCAGCTGCAATAACAAGTCTTGAGGTTGAAGAGGACAGCGTCATTGTTTTATGCTCAATCAGCTTAACTCAGTTGCTTTGAGTTTGGACAACACTAATGAGTTGTGTGGAACCCTGCATTTTTAAATATGTATATTTCTCTATAATGATTTGAATGGTTTACCAATGCTGGAAATAACCTGTAGTTCTGTCTTCTCCTGAATCCACAGCACAGATAAGAGGTATTTGAGTCTGTTCCTCTGAATGAAGGAAATAGAAATGAATTCATGATTAATCACCACTGCTGTGTGCACATCCTATCCTAGAACCTTCCATCAAGGAGCAATATTTAGAGCAGAGGTGCCCAAACGTTTTCGTATGAAGGGCCAAAAACTAAATATCATTGAGAGCCGTGGGCTGAAGGCAAATAGAGCAAACTAAATTATGTTAGAGTTTACAAGGGTAATTTCTTAATCTGTTTAATAATGTTTCAAAATAAATAGAAAACTTGCTTTAAATCAAATTAACTAATGCAGTGTAACTTTTTAAAATTATAACATAATGCAGTAAAATTATAATCACATTCATAACTCAATCCTGTTATAGTTCAATCCTGAATACATACACAGACTCTGCCTTCGACTTGACTTGCTTACTGAAGTCTGTCTCCATCATCCTCCCTCTCTTTTACAGATGGGATGGTGGGCCAAATCGAAGGTTTACATGGGCCAACTTTGGCCCAAGTTTGGGCACCACTGATTTAGAGTGTAAACAGGAGTTATGCTAATAAATCTGGGTGTATTGCTCCTCATAATGAAAGGCTAGGATCTGCATGTGCTGTACATCGTGACGATGGACTGGTGTGAATAATGGAAACGAATAGAATTGTGCTGTAAACAAACACACAAGCAGCGCATTATTATTCTCTTTCCAGACACACATCATTCACAATTCAGATATGTGTGTTGATGAGACGATCTGTCAGCAAATACGTGATATATTCCCTGCTGGATATCATGCATTTTCTGAAGTCGCTTTATAATATTAGTGTGCATTTATTTGAGGAGTAGAGATGCAATGCTAATCTGCATTTATTGCATTTCTTCTCCAAGGGTTTGTATTAAAGATTGTTATGCTTATAGATAATAAAGGTTTATATATTTTAGATTTTAACACTTCATATTTGCACTTTATGTTAATGAAGCCGTTGTTTTGTGCTGGTTTAAAAGGTTTGACTTTGTTTTGTGCATCACATTTTCTGTATTTACATGAATTAAGATGTTTGTTGCTTGTATTTCTTACAGAAATCGAACTTCCTTTGAGAAAAACAAAACTGATGTCTTCCGGGTAAAAACACACAATGTGGGCCCTCTAAAAAAAATCAGGTATGACCACTGATTTACTGTCATTTAGGGTTTACGATTTAGATAATTAATACATTTTTTAAAATAATAAATAAACAAATAAATGATTGAATGAATAAAAAAATGAATGAATGGATAAATTATAATAAATACAATATTAATAATAAAATAAATAAATAAATAAATAAACATAAAATGTTTATGTATATTCAGATTAAAAATATATATAATGTTTATGATACAAATTAGATATAAATTAAAATATCTATGTAAAAAAAGTTTGTATTATATGTATGTTTATGTAAGACACACACACACACACACACACACACACACACACACACACACACACACACACACACACACACACACACACACACACACACATATTGTCAAAACAAACTTTTATTTTGAATGCAATTAATCTTAATTAATATTTTCCCAGCACTAAAATAAATACTTAAATAATAATAAAAATATTAATAAAACATGACTGCAGTTATTTTATGCTCACTCACTCTGTCAATGTGTTTGATTAACAATGTACATTGCTTAAAACTTAATTTTTTCAATTTTAAAGGTGATTTATTTATTTATATATTATTATTATTGCTTTTTGTTTTTTATTCATGTTAACATATTTATATTTTATATTTTTATTTAGTTTAGCATTTAATTTTATTTTCGATTTTTATTTACTTTTATTTATTTATTTACATTTACATTTATTATAGCATTTTATTTTGTTTAGATTTTTACTTTTATTTATTTATTTATATTTACATTTATATTTATTTATTTTAGCATTTTATTTATTTATATTTAGCTTTTTATTTATTTATTCATTTGTTTTATTTTATTTAGATTTTTATTTATTTGTTTATTTATTTACATTTATATTTATTTATTTTAGCATTTTAGTTTGCTGTTTCAAAATTACATTTATTTATTCATGATAGCTGTTTATTCTGTTTAGAGTTTTATTTATTCTTAAATTTTTAAGTTTTATTTTATTTATAATTTTGTTATTTATTTTTTTTAATGTATATTTATGTATTTTAGCTTTTTATTTTATTAAAGGGCACCTATGGTGAAAAAATTGACTTTTCCAGCTGTTTGGACAGACATGTGTGTAGGTATATTGTATAGAGCATCATATTGGGCTGATAGAAACACACACAGTCCTTTTATTCAATTTGACAACATAAAAACGGTGGACCAATTGGAGCGGTTTTCAGACCGACCGCAACTTTACGTAGGAGAGCGGTCCCCTCGCCCACCAATATTGATTGACAGCCTCGTGTCACGATCATATCCTCAGTTTGTTGTTTCACGTCCGCCATTTTCAGCGAGTGAGTCAAAGCGATGTCACTAAAGAAACACCCGCGCTCTATTTTTAGATGAAAAGCTCATTGGCCTCAACACAAGATCAATACTCTACACATTTTCGCTGTAATCTGAATTATTGCTTGTATCTATTGCGTGGCGCCGTGCATTTCGGAGTTTTGGGCGTGGGTTTTTGTCGGGGTGCACGCGGCAGAGCTTCGGGTTGGCGGCTCGGCGGCCGCGGTGCCGTTGTGTATGCCCTGGTGGAGGCCTGTGTTTGGAGATCTGGAATGCATGGCACTGTGTGGCGCGACGATTCGGGACACTTCATGTTTCTGCGGCGCCACAGAGTGTCCGTGGTGCTGTGTCGCGGCGCATTCGGTGCAGTCAAAGTTAATTCAGTGTGTGTGGTTATTAGTCTCGGTGTACAAGCTCGGCACTTTTACACTGAGACTTTACAAACAAAGACACAAATGATTGTGTACTCTCTGCTTGGTCTGTGTCCGAGTCATACATGTACAGCTGAATGCTGATTCTAGCTTAGCTTAGCTTCTCTCTCACTGTCTGTCAGCCTGTCTGTCGCAAACACAGAAGCTGCGTCCCAAATCGCATACTTATGCACTATTCTACGCCATTTTGTAGTATAAATAGTGTAAGTAGTGTGTTCACACTGAAAACTCTAAAAACATTAAGTGCACTTTAATTACCCGGATGATGCACTCATTCAGCCGCTAAACAGAAGTGTGTAATGATGGACACTTCACGCACTCAACGACCGCAGATTTGCTTACGTAGCGGAAGGGGCGGAGCTATCAGATGCACATGTTGAATAACTTTATTTATTTTGGATGGTAAAAGCAAAATTCTCCTACGAGAGTGATTTTAGCGCCTCCCGATGGAGAATGCGGCAATACTCACGGCAGGTATTGTTTGATAATTCGGTCGTTTATTACACTGATTTGGCAACCGTCAAACGTCATCAGGAAAACGGTTTGAATTTCCGTTTAGTAAAAACACATTAGTGTGCCATTTGGGACGCCACTACATACATATACAATCCTGTTGAGTGTGTAAGTGCATAAGTACATAGTGCATGAGTGCATAGTGTATAGTGTGCCATTTGGGACGCAGCTAGAGAGTGGGAGCTCTTGGCTCCGCCCCCTTGTTACCATGGGCGGGAAGCCGAAACTGTGAAGCAACACGCCCCTAAAACAGCAAGCTGTGTACACGCCCCCAACATCACACTCTTTAACACATTATAATAAAAACATCTGAACTGTGTGTTGAACTGAACCTAAACTGGCACACTCAGAACAACCAGAATATTAATATTAAATCATAAAAAACGGGTAAACTATGTGCCCTTTAATTCATATTTAGATGTATTTATTTATTAATGTTTATTTAGATTTAGGTTTTTTTTGAACCCTCAGATTCCAGATTCCTTATAGTTGTCTCTCTGACAAATTTTGTCCAATCCAAAAACATCATTTCATTCATTTATGCAGCTTTTGGATGATGTAAAAATCTCAATTTCCCTAAATGTGACCTTATGACGTGTGCTCATGGTCATGTTTCTCTATACTCTAAAAATATCTGTTAATGAACATTTTCCATGTGTTTTGTGTGTTTATCTGCGGTGGTGAGTTGCATTATGGGATGTTGATCTCTGCTCCGTCCACTTCTAATGTTGAAAATTCAACTCTACAGTTTAACAAAGTGACTTTTATTGACATTTTAGTGCTTTGAAATAATATAAGAGATCATATCTAGAGAAATAAGTATGTAAAATAGCAGAAATGTGCTGCAGTTTATTACAAGGTTATTGTAGCATAATATACAACACCAACACAGACGATATAGCACTGCAGACTATATACTTCACATGCAGAAAACACACATTTACAAGCTTTTCAATGTTAAAAGTTGTTAAAAGAAAGATCAAGATCCCATAATGCCATTCAACAGCATAAATAAACGAAGAAAAATAAAAACATAAATCACAAAATACAGAAAACTGCTAATGTATGGCTATTTTTGACAGTGTGAAGTGCTGATGAGTGTTGTTTTTGTGTGTTCAGGATTGAGCATGATAACACGGGTCTGAACGCCAGCTGGTTTCTGGACCGGGTCGTGGTGACGGACATGAACAGGCCTCATCTACGCTTTTATTTCGCCTGTAATAACTGGCTGAGCAGAGATGAAGGAGACGGGCTGTATGTGCGAGACCTGCTGGGCAGTCTGGACCCCATGGACATGCCCAAATGTCAGACTTTATCCAAACACACACACACACATTCAAAAAATTGTCGAAAATGATCAGTTTTCCATATTTTTCATTTTTATTCCATAATAATCCATATTTTATTTTTTTTTCTTGTTTTTATTTTTCCTTGTTTATTTTTGCTTTTGAGTTGTATCATGAGATCTTGATCTTTCTTATGCAATATAATATAATATGCAATATATGCAATATAATATAATATTACAATAGAATATATATATATATATATATGCACATACACTGCCTGACAAAAGTCACTGGCCAGCCCAGTCACCAGACATCAACATTATTGAGCTAATGATGAACACAAAGACTCTTGATGAGCTCTGGGATCCTGCTGAAGGCTTTCTTCTTCATTCCAGATGACTTTATTAATCAGTGATTTGAGTCATGTCAGAGATGTATGGATGCAGTCCTCCAAGCTCATGATGGAGTCAGACACAATATTCATTCTGTCTCCACTGCAGCAGGACTTTATATTCTATACTGGACATTATTTCTGTTCAGTGACCAGAGCAGAGTCAAACTTTACTGTCCTAATGAAATCATTAATAATCAAGGCATGATCAGATTTTATTGAGCTCAAATAAGCTAAATCTAAAGGCCTTTGCCTTTCATAGAGACACTTCTGATAGCAAATCATCAACTAGAAGTCAAGTAAGTATCTGCTGTTCATAAAACTTGAATAGGAAACAAGACTTTTGTCAGGGAGTGCATATTATAAATTCCTTTATGTTGTCCCAATGATTGTATGGAACTCAGAAAAGTCCAAATTTTCTTAAAACAAGCCAAATATTTTGCCAGTGGGGTCAGTAAAATAGTCTTGTTTTTTGTTTTAACATAATATTATTTTTCTTGCCTCATTGTCAGATTATTTTGCGTGTACAGTATTAAGTAAAACTCTCTTTTTGAAAACAAGACAACATCTTTTGCTTGCCCAGAAAATGCTTCTTGATTTAAGAATTTTGATACATTTTGATACAAGTGCAGAGTTGTGGATTCTGCTGAAATAACAAATTTCTTCTTAATTTTGTGTTTTCTCAGATAATAAATATGTAGTGAGTGTGTTCACGGCTGATGTGAAAGGCAGCGGGACTGATGCAGACGTCTTCCTCAATATATTCGGAGAATTTGGTGATACAGGTAAAACTACAGTGGAGACGAACAATCTAAATGATGTGTCCTTTAAAGAAAACTTCTCCTCAGGGAATTACTATATTATTATATATAAATAATAATTAATATACAATTTCATTTATATACAAATTATATTTAAATTCAAATATCAATCAAAAAGTTTGTTTTATATATGTGTTTTTATGAGTGTTGGTATCATAATGCCCACACATATATTATGTCAAAACAAACTTTTATTTTGGATGCAATTAATACATTTTGGCCCAGCACTAAAATAAATACATAAATAATAATAAAAATATTAATAAAACATGACTGCAGTTATTTTATGCTCACTCCCACTGTTAATATTTTTGATGACCAATGTACATTACTTAGAACTTAATTTGTTCAATTTTAAAGGTGATTTATTTATTTAATCAAATATTCATTTTAGCTTTTTATTGTTTCTTTCTTTATTTACTTATTTAATTACATCGACATTTACTTAAATGTATGTGTTTTAGTTATTATTTTATTTATTCACATTTAGATTTTTATTTATTTATTTATTTTAGATTTTTATTTTATTTAGATTTGAATTTTTCTGTATTTGTTTTTTTATTGTTTACAGTTACATTTATATATATATATTTTTTTTTAGATTTTTATTTTATTTATTTATATTTAGATTTTCATTTATTTACATTTATTCATTTATTTATCTTTATATCTATTTATTTTAGCTTTTTATTTTATATATTCTTATTTATATTTTATGTATTTACATTTATTTATATTCATATCTATTTATTTAAGCTTTTTATTTTATATATTCTTATTTATATTTTTATTTATATTTATATTTATATCTATTTATTTTAGCTTTTTATTTTATTCATATTTAGATTTTTTATTTTAATTTATTTACATTTATTGATATTTTATATCTATTTATTTTAGCTTTTTATTTTATATATTCATATTTACATTTTTATTTGTTTATATTTTGTTGGCCTTTTATTTTATTTAAATTTGTTTTTATTTATTTGCAACAAATGTCAACAAAGACTGAATATACAGCAGGAGCGGTCGGTGTGGCATAAAACCTGGTGGGAGCGGGACTAAAAATTCAGTCCTGCGCAGATCTCTAACTCAGGGCTCTCAAAACTTGCCTTATTATCAATCATTATCTGAGTGTGAACTCTTGAAAACTCATTTGTACTCATTTGAGGTCAAACATGTTATTAAAATTACATAAAAACTTTTCATATGTCTAATTTTGTATTTTTTTAAGTTCCGCCAAAAAATTAATTGTGCTTTATTGTCTGTAGAGTTGAATTTTCAATATCAGAAGTAGAAAGAGCAGCGATCAACATCCCATAATGCAACTCACCACTGCAAATAAACAGAAAAACACAGAAACCGTCCACCCGCTTTGAATGCTATCACTCGATTGAATGGGAGTTATCGGTGGTTATCAGCTGATAGATTAGGGCCAGTAGGGGCCTTCTGTGCCTACTAGTAGGCTCAGAAGGCTGTTGTCATCCATCCACATGGTTAATCAGCTATACTAATACAGAAGTCTCCACATCTAGATCTGTTTTTACAGTACTGTGACAGGGGTTGGGTTTAGGGTTGTGGTAAGGGTAAATGTTAATAAAATACAAATAATTTATGAAATTATGTAAATAACTCCTTGTAATTTCCGGCCCCAGCCATATCTGATCAGTAGCTGATTAACCATGTGGATGGATGATAACAGCCTTCTGAGCCTACTAGTAGGCACAAAATACCTATACTGTCACTCATCTATCAGCTGATAATGCCCATTCAATCGAGTGATAACATTCGAAGCGGCTGAACTGTTCATTAACATATATTTTTTACAGCGTGCACATGTGGAGGACTATAAACACTTGACTAATGACTAATCTCCATCATTGTATCTTTGATCTGCATGACTATCGTGTTTATCTATTCTGTGATCTTCTGTTTCTCAGGAGAGAGACGACTAGACAATGATAAAAACAACTTTGAGCGAGGAACAGAAGACAAGTTCACCATGGAGGCTCCAAACCTGGGCAAAATCAGAAAAATCACCATCGGACACAATAATAGAGGCTCTTCAGCAGGATGGTTTGTGGACAAGGTACAAACTCACACTCTATTTCTTATTTTGAAGTAAACACAGTAACATCAATATACTTTTTAAAAGCATGATGTCTGAAGATAATGAGTGTTTTGAGGGAAATTTACATTTACATACAGTTTGAGTCCAAAATCTCCAGTTCAGCAACACACACACACACACACACACACACACACAAAACTCTATACTTTTAGCCCCTATTTGGCATTAAAAAGGTCATATTTTAGTTTTAGGGGTCTCCAACAACAGGCTGATCTGTGTGCAAGGTCAAAACACTTTCATTGTCTTATAATCTGCATTTATTTTTACCTGATTATCCCAGCATCTCCCATATGATTCGTTCAGCGATTCATTTGTTCCCAAACCCCTGTTTAGCGCGAAGCTAATCTGCGCTGACTGGACTGATGACCCAGTCTGTTGTGATTGGTCGATTGCGTTTAGCACGAGAGAGAGAAACGCCCACCATGGCTACAGTATGAAGTAGGAGAAAGTATGTGAGAGCCCAATGCAGGAATGCAATAAAGCAATGCAGTTAAACACCAGCATATACTGCACTCTTAAACCTAACCATGAGTAATAACAGCGACACACATTCAGTATTAATCCACACAGTGGCAAAAGTCTTTTAAAAGTTGACCGCGTGTGTAAAGGAGGCCAGCTATTTGGTGCTGTGCAGGTAAACCTCATTCCTCTGACCTCTAAAGGTGCTCTAGCGACAGACTCTGGAGGCCATAGTCTTTAGCCTCCTTGGTAGAGCAACCGACTCCCATGCGGAAGGTCGCCGGTTTGATACCAGCTTGGAGCGGGCTGGGTTGTGTAGAACCGGTGGGGTTACATTGGTGCCCTGACTTGAATAGGAGTGAGGTTTGGGTGGGTGAGTGTAAAGAAGTCCAAAAGAAAGGTGCTCTAGCGACAGACTTTAGAGGCCATGGTCTTTAGCCTCCTTGTTAGAGCAACCGACTCCCATGCGGAAGATCGCTGGTTCAATTCCAGCTCAGAGCAGGTTGGGTTGTGTAGAACTGGCGAGGTTAAACATGTGAGGAACAGCTGATGGTAGCCATAGCAAAGGCAAACAGCACTGGATCACGAGTTCAGAAACGCATTTGAATCGGTAAAGGAAGAAGCACGCGTCACGTTTTTAACGTGGTTTTGGACGCAATTTGTGAACAACCCCATACAGATTTAACCTGAGAGATACAAGCACTAATCTATAATCGATACGTGATTACAAGCTGCGCGGGGCGGTTACAACTTATTACACACAATTAAGCACATATTTTACAAACTACACAAAACGAGGCAACAATTTTAATGACACTTACATGTTCTGATCCGGAGGAAGAAGAAACTGGTCCATATTAACTGTAAAAGTTACTGACAAAGTCCCATAGTCTCTGCTGCTCCTTCAATAGCAAACAGCCGACGAATCCCGCGCTGCAGCGTTGGTTATTTTATCCAAAATCTGAAAAACGACAGGAACAAACACAGCACTAGGCTGGCTATACTGTGGTGTTGTTGTGAAAATTTATGTTAACCCTTTATTCTATCTGTCAGTGTTTGTCATCTTCAGTCATGATCAGTCTCGTGATCCTCCACGCCTCCGCTAGTGGATGAAGGCAAAGCACGTGCACATTTTACCAGATCTGGAACTATATATTTGGAGATGTATCGTATTGACGTCGATGCGATCAAACAAAAGATCCGAACCCAGCTCTATCCCTTTATTCGACTCTGAGCCGACTATTTCGCTAAATAATCAATAGTTTTAAACATGCTGCACTCTCAGATTTAACCCTCAGCTGGATGTGTTCATTCACTTAGAGTTGTGTTACGCACCACATGAAGATCATTCTCAGAAACCCATCACAGGGGCTTTTTTAAATCTATATTTTGATTGCACTTACACATTTGTCGTTCCAGTACACACTTTAAAAAACGCTGGCTTCCACACAATTGATTTGTGTTTGGACAACATGAAAGAATTACATTCACTTATTAGTTTTTGCAAATTTAAGTAGATTGAACATAAAACACTGAAGTTGTCGCCCCCAAAAACTCATTAATTGTGTTGTTTCAGCTCATTTTAAATCAAATAAAGTAGTTTAAACAAACACCAAACTGATTTTGTTGAGTGCACATCATGTGTGTGTGTGATGCAGCATTTCTGACAGTAGAATATAATCAGTGTGTTTGCTGTAATCAGTTTGTGTTGCTGGTGTTTGATTACTCACACCACATCTCTCAGGATGAGGTCACTCTAGTCACCTTATCCACGCTGAAACTCTACGCTCCGGGATTAACTTTCCTTCTGATCAGAGCCGCGGCCTGCAGATAGACAGATATGCACATAGATTGTTCACACGGACACCAAATATCACCAGCACTGGCATGAAAGCTGCAGCTTCAGCTCCTGACAGCAGTTCACCTCTGTACAGTGATGGAGTAACGCTGTTACAAATGAACACTGTTACTGTTTCCCACTCACAACATTGTTACCTTTACTGCCTGTCTGTCTATCAATATATCTGTCTGTCTGTCTGTACATCTCTATGTCTGTCTGTCTGTCTGTCTATCAATATATCTGTCTGTCTGTCTGTCTGTCTGTCTGTCTACCTGTTTGATACTAGCTGGGCTTCCAGCTAACTCTATCAAGCCTCTTCAACTGCTCCAGAATGCAGCAGCACGAGTTGTCTTCAATGAACCTAAACGAGCACATGTCACTCCACTGCTAGTCCGTTTGCACTGGCTGCCAGTTGCTGCTCGCATCAAATTCAAAACTCTGATGTTTGCCTACAAAGTGACTTCTGGCCTAGCACCTTCTTATCTGCACTCACTTCTGCAGATCTATGTGCCCTCCAGAAACTTGCGTTCTGTGAATGAACGTCGCCTCGTGGTTCCATCCCAAAGAGGAAAAAAATCACTTTCGCGAACGCTCACGCTCAATCTGCCCAGTTGGTGGAATGAACTCCCTAACTGCATCAGAACAGCAGAGTCACTCGCTATTTTCAAGAAACGACTAAAAACTCAACTATTTAGTCTCCACTTCACTTCCTAATCTGCAATTGCCTATTTGAATATCACACTAACTGTACAAAAAAAAAAAAAAAAAAAAAAAAAAAAATTACTAACACTTCCCTTCTTAGACTTTACAGACCTGAAACTTGCCTTTAGTACTTATTCATTGTTGCTCTTAGTGGTGTAAATTGCTTCCTTGTCCTCATTTGTAAGTCGCTTTGGATAAAAGCGTCTGCTAAATGACTAAATCTAAATGTAAATGTAAATATCAATATATCTGTCTAATTGTCTGTCTGTCTGTCAATACGCCTGTCTGTCTGTCTGTCTGTCTGTCTGTCTGCCAGTCTGTCTGTCTGTCTGTCTGTCTGTCTGCCTGCCAGTGTCTGTCTTTCTGTCTGTCAATA